ATTAGGCTCACAGACTCAAACAAGATACAACTAAGTATAACATCAAAAGCAATGGCTCACAATAGTGAGACATGATGAAGTCATTATTTCTAGTTACAAGGCTGTCAAACCAATAGTCCAGAGAAGCATAAAAATAATGAGTTGATTATACTGTTAATTTTTCTAAAGAAAACTTAGAAAGACTCGAACTTCTAATTGACATGTCAGTGTAAAAATTACCCTGGTGAGTGATAGGAAATTGGTTCAATATTGAACAGTTTAGAAAAAGCAACTACAGATGAGGTAATGATGGAAAATTAATTTTCAATGCTACTTATCCAGGCACACCCCTCCCACCAACTGCATGGAATCAACCATTTAAGCATAAAAACAATGAGTTAATTATACTGTTAATATCCCAAAGAAATGTTACAAAGGCTTGGAACTTCTAACAAATAGGCTGGTGCCCAAGTTTCCAAGGGGACTGAGGAAATTATCTCAACAACTACTAATGAACTGCTCAAAAGCACAATTACAAGTGATTAATGTGCTAAAACAATATGTTTTAAGACTCCATAGTCACATTCCTCTCATCAACTATATTGAGTCAAACCCTTATGCACTCAGCCACTCCAAATCTGAAGTGGCGGAAGTTAAAAATAGACTACAAAAATTTAAACTACTGTGCTAAAGCACTTCAGGTCACTTTTACAGCTTATCCTGTAAGAGCATGGATAAAAACTAACCTCCCGCTCTTCTTCTCCATCATCATCCAGCAGGTCTTCCTCCCCGGCCTCAACCAGAGTTGATACTGCTGCAGCTTTAGTTGAATGAAAACGCCGCACTTTCTGCTCCTTTATTTTCTCCAGCTTTGCTTCTGCAGCTATTTGGCGTCTGTATCTGGCAATCTGTATAGAGGCACATGAAGAGGTTGTGAGTGCAGGAGCTAAAAAAGCCCCATGTTGCAAAGGATGCTCAACAAAACTATGATGCATCAGAGTAATTTTGATTGTAAGAAAGTATTGACAAAGACTTGAAGCTACCTTTAGAGCCCTTCGATCTGCAAAAGTATTTGGAGTCCCCTGAGAAAATGTCTGCAACTCCTCCTCTGGTACAAGTTCCATTGCCTCACAAAATGAGAGGAATTCCTGGATCAAGTTGCCTTTATAAATATCAACTGATATATAACAAAACCTCAAAACATGCAGAAAACATTAAGTACTAAGGAAAAAATATATGCCCAGAAGCTCAGCTGGCAGCTGCTATGTTGGCAAACAAGCTTAAGACTATGTACTTCAGATAATGAACAGAAGTCACCTTTAACTTTGCCTGGGAAGCCTTTAAAATTTGTATCCTATCATCCTGAGCAATGTTTTCAGTCAGCTCTGCCAGATAAAGTGGAACCTGCAATTGTGATAAGCTATCAAGTTAGAAATCAATTTTCTTACTGAATACATTCTGATGTAAAACTAACAAGTTTACAAAGTTCATAAATTCAACAGTTGCAACAGCCAATTACATGTAGATTTCCAATTTGATCCCATAAAATCATTTCCATCGCTGTCAATTAAATGAAAAAATAAAAAAAACCCCAAGCTTCAAAGTCTACATTTGACATTTAATTGAATGGGAATGAAAAGGGAAGTTAACCAGCAAAAAGCCATTAGGTTATAAAAGGTTCGAGCTTTGAAGCTCATTTCAAGACCTTCCTAATTCAACCCACCCAACCTACATAAAACATAAAAACTATCAACATTAAAAGTTACCACCATTTTTAGACTTCTCCTGTCTAAGCTAAATAACATTTCCAACAACCGTTCCAAATTTTGTGTACCCAATTTAATTCCACATAGCACCATAACATAACAATCATCATACAACACAAAGCTAAAACCACTGCATCAACTTAGAACAACACCGCTTCCTTCACTCCATCAAGTGTTAAAACCCAACCATGAGTCCCTTGTATTTCAACAAACCTAACACGAAAAAGAAAACTTTCTCGTTTTTTAACCAACCCATCAATTAGAAACCTCTAAAGTTTCATACTTTTTTTTAAAAAAAAAAACTAAAACAAAGAGAGAAAATCAACAAATTTAAACATTACCAGAATATACTTGAGATTGGTAGTGCTAATATCCTCTTTAGTCTCATTAGAAGAAAATAAACCCAATTTACTAATCATTTCCTCACAATTCTCCAGTGCTTCAATTCCCTTCTTCACCAGTTCCTGTCAAAATCAAATCAATCAATAAAAACCCTAAAATCAAATACAAAAAAGTTACAAACTTCGATTAAAAAAAATCTAATGACAAAATGTTATACCTTATCATTGGAACCAGATTCTGTTGCTTTTAGATGGATTTTTGAAGCTTGATCGAAGAGAGAAGGAAGGGGCAACTCTTCCATTATCAATTCACCCACTAGAAAACGAAAAAACCTAGAATTTGATTTGGGGTTTGAACTTGAGGATTCTTAAGCCAGGACTTTGAACGGTAGAATTAGAAATTTGTTGTTGTAAATGATTAGTTTCAAAAATAAGGATGAGAAGCCAGAGAAGAGAAGAGGCAGCTGCAAGAAATATATATAGAGAGAGACAGGATTTGATTCTGTGTTCGTGCATTAGATTGTTTGTATTGGAATCTCCACCCAGAAACTGCCACGTCATATTTTTATTAAAGTTTTAATCAGCAAGAATTTTTAGTTAAATTTCGTTTACTAATATTTCTATCACCCCATAAAAAAAAATTATCAGATATTAGAAAGGCCATCAATACTTAATGCACCCATGAAAATATTGGAAATAAATTTAATTTTTTTAGGCCGAGAATATAAACTAAAAAGTTTACTTAGTAAAAATTGCTGTGAAATATTTTAGAAAAAATAAAAATAATAAGTTTTTAAATGTATTGTAAAAAACTTATAAGAAAACATAAAAAACTATAAAACTATTTGGAAAAAAAGTATAATAATATTTATTTTAATATTAACATATCAAAATAATAATAAAAAAAAAGTATAATAATATTAATATATCAAAATAATAATAAAAACAATAAAATATTAATTTAAAAATATAAAAAATATAAAATAAAACACAATTCAGGCACACAAATGCATCTCAAATTCATGCTAGAAAAGCCATGAGGTCCCCTTGTCACTTCTTGTCTTCCGTAAATAGTTGTCTTATTACTTTTATTTATTTATTTATATGGGGTGTCCGGACCAGTTTACGTACACCACGACTAATCCTCATGGCCCATTGAACATCCTGCAAGCCCAATTAACAGGTAAGGCACCGCGAAGATGACAGGCGTGCATAATAAAGTTCGAACCCAGGTACAGAGAAAGAAGATAAACTCCTCTCACCGCTAGGCCAGAAACTCGCTTACAATAGTTGTCTTATTACTTGTCTAGCTATGTCTTGTCTTGTGCTCAAGCTCAGAAGTACTTTAACTTGATTTTTTGGTGTCTTCACTCGTGGTCCAAGAGCTAGGGTTTCAAATACCATAGTGCTGCTATAGTTATTAAATCCTCCACAAAATCACAACTAAAAACTTCAACTAAATTAAGTTTTAATTTGAATCAATTTTGAAATTGATCCGGTGACTAAAGAATTTATTTTGTACAAAAATAATAGATATAGTGAAACTATTAATTTAATAATCCAAGCTTTTTATCGAGTTAGAACATGGTTTGAATATCACAATATTGTATTATATTAATATTATTTTTAAATAAATTTTTATATTTTTAAATTAAAAAATATTAAATGAAATTAATATTTGAATCAGTAGAGTTATAAAAAATTAACTTATTACGAATTTGAATCATAAAAACTAATGAGACTAAACTCTTAAAGTAAAAACCTTAAATTATCATTAAAAATTGTGATTCAGATTATTAGTGGGACTAAATTTAATAAAATTATGTCATTTTATTATATAAAATAAAAAATAATAAGAAAAATAAAATAAATTTAAAAAATTTACAATGAAAAAATTAAAAAAATCACATAAGCAATGAACAACAACGAAAAAACAATTACAAATCAACAATTATCATAACCCCGAGAATGTAAAAGTCACAGAGTTTTTTTAAAATTTTAATTTTTTAAAGTTTTATATTAATTTTAAAATTTTAAATTGTTGATATTAAAAATAAAATTTTAAAAATGAAAAAACGTTATTTCTCTCTCTCTCTCTCTCTCTCTCTCTCTATATATATATATATATATATATATAGAAAGCATATTTCTCCACGTCTCCAACTAAAGAAGGCATGATTTTGTTGACTTTGTAGCTTGTTCTCTCCAAGGTCTCAATCACAGGCACAGAGGATATATTTTTACCTTGACTTGAAGCCCCCATAACTCTTATCGGGTAATTCACTGTTGTAAGGTAGTTATTTAAGATATTATTTATTTTAAAATATTTTAAAATAATATTTTTTTAAAAAGAATTATTTTTAAATGAAAAATTAATTTAAAATGAAAAAAATTAAAATTTTCAAAAAACAAAAATAACCATACACTTGTCATTGAAATATTGAATGCGGTGATATATAGCACATTCTTCAGATAGGATTCAATGCCTGGACTTTCTTGTGATGAATTTTTTCAAGATCATTGATTATCTTCAAACTGTTTTTTAATATTAGTTTTATTCTCAAACCAGTTTGATTTATTAATTAATTAAGATTTTCTGTTAGAATAATTTAATTAAAAAAGTTAAAATATTTCTTATAAAATGATATCTTTTTTTTAAAGTACTATCAGATGAAAATATTTAAAAAATAGATGAAATTAATTAGTATTTAATTAAGAATTTTCTTAAGATTTTAAAAGTAAAGTTAACACAAAAGAAATTATTCGAGAGCAAAAATCGAAACTATGTATAGTCATTTTTGAAGCCTACCCTTCATCATTTAAGAAAAAATAAAAAATCATGCTCAGCCTGTTTGAGGAAGACGGGATATTGTACAAGCACTAGGATTAGTTTAATATATTCTAATAAATCATAATAAGACAACAGAAACAAGCCAAAATGTTGTCATCTTTGAGGCTGTTATCCTTCTAATGCAGGCAAGTGGTAATTTCCATTGACTATATATCTGCAGGAGAGATAGAGAGGTTGCTTCATAAACAATCAAATTAATGAATCCAACAACATGAAGTCGAGGTTCCAATGGCAGATCTTGGAATGGATTTGTACAGCTTTTGTAGAACAAGTTCATGCATGCTTTTCAGGTCTCAACAAGGGAAGCAAATTGAGGAGGCGGCCAATCCTTCTGGCCCCATGAAGACTTGGCTTCTCTTAGGTGGATTCATCATGATGACAGTGAAATACTGAAAGTGATATTTGCAGGAATTGCCCCTCACCGAAAAAAGAAATCTTTTACATGATTCTTTATGTCTTTAAATATCTAAATCAAGTGGGTTTTTTAAATAAAAATGGGAGGCGGGGTTCTCTTTCTTATTCTTCTTCTTACTCTAGGGTAAGTTAGGGATAAAGAGGTTTGACTTTCTGGTTCTAGCTATAAAACTACTTCAAATTCGCAGATGCAAGATAGGAATGGTAAAAAGGACATGACAGTGAGCTCGCTGTCAAGGTATTGAAGCTTTTGTGGTTCATATTTCTCACGTTGAAACCATACAGGATATCATTGACTGATCTGTTAGAGGTTGGTGAGAGTTGTCATCAACTTAGAAAAAATCCCTTTTCACATTGGAGGAATCTTATGATAACTGAAGAAATAGCTTTGTTTTTAACTCCCTTTCGTATTTTTGTAATGTAATGTACTGTACTGTAGTGTATACTAGACAGGCAAGCCACATGGGATAAATACTGTATTCCAATGACTTTCTTGATTCAGATACGCTTCTTTTTGTCTTCTTCAACTCTTGGATCTTACCATATGGAAATGGTGAAAAGCTACTAGGAGTCTAGGGCTTTTGTTTTCCATGACGTTTATCACATGATTTGAAGAAGGAAAGAAAGGAAAAAGGGTACTGAAAAGTAGTGGAAAGTGGGGGGTTCTTGGATGATCAGTTTCTCTCTCAAAACATGGGAAACTTTTGATTGTTTTCTTCTATTCTGTTACAGTATATCCCTTTTTAACTGATTTTGCAGCCTTGTACATTTGTAAGGATACAAATGCTTTTGGCATTCTCTTGCCATTTATTATTCACATCATAATTGCAGTACAGGTTTTTCTGCAGCTGGGTGTAGGTGGTCCTTGAGGTCTCCATTGGATCATAACGTTGCTGTCTTTGAGCTTAAATTTCTTTCCCAGCAGTCTTTGGCCTGTGGTTTTGGAGCTGAGGAATCTTTAATCCTTTACAGAAGTAAGTTCACCTGCATGATTTGTTCTTGAATCGTGGAATTTCATGTTTCCTTTTGTATCTCTAGAACTGTGCCACTGTGCATTACTGTTTCTCAATTATTGAGATGCTTTTTGCCTCAATTATTTGTGCTAGACCACTGAGTATATATGTGTTTTTTATTAGAACTTATCTGGGATTACTTCTAATTAAAGTTGTTTCTTAAATTTTAATTCCCCAAATAGCATTTTGAAAGGAAAAGAAGCGGATTTCTCAGAAATGGATAGAAAGGAGGTTTCTGGTTCTTATTTGACAGCCCCAGAAGGGAAGAGTGACAGCTTCTATCCAATGTATTTTGGTGTTTCTTGTGCTCTCTTTGTTCTCAAAGTCTTGACAAAGCCTGTTAAGGAAGACGATAGATGGTCAGAATTGTGCGATAAAATGCTTCGAGGAAGTGCTCATCTCTTGAGATTGCTTGTTTGGAAAATCCAGAGAGAAGGAGCAGATGGTGAACACTGTGAGCTTCTTCATAAGCTTGAGACTGCTGAGAATGAGATCATGGAGCTGAAGAAAATAAGGTGTGACGATGCAAAAGCGAATGAGAACGTTGTTAGTATCTCTGCATCGCAAGAGCAGAGCTGGTTGATCGAAAGGAAGGAGCTTCGACAGCACATTGGAGGTCTTATTAGTGAATTGAGGGTTCTTGAGAAGAAGAATAAAGAAGCTATTTCTGAATTGAATGAAAAATTGAACGAGATGAAACTTTTGGTGCAGTCCAAGGATAAGGCAGTGGAGGAAGAGGAGCATAAAAGGAAGGAGTTAGAAGAAAAATTAGCGAAGACTGAAAAGGTTGCAGAAGAATTGAGAGAAACGGCTAAGCGTAAGGCTCAAGAGCATTCTACTGATATTTTGAAGCACAAAACTGCCTTCCTTGAGCTCGTATCTAACCAACGGCAGCTTGAAGCTGAGATGGGTAGAGCACTCAGGCAACTTGAGGCTAAAAGGAAAGAGCTTGATGCAGTCTTAGAGCAAAAGGAGGAGTCAATGGTGTTGACCCAAAAACTATCCATGGAAGTTGTGAAGGTGAGAAAGGATTTGGAACAGAAAGATAAGATCTTGTCAGCAATGCTGAGGAAATCCAAGCTGGATACAACTGAAAAGAAAATGCTCTTAAAGGAGGTTAAATTTTCAAAGTCCAAGAAGAAGAAAGCTGAACTAGAAACAACAGAAAGTTGGAAATCTGTATCAGAGTCCAAGCATGAGAAGCATTCATTGAGAAGTATGTTCTCTCTCCATACCAATCTGATGAGGTCAGAAGATCCTCCAATTGAAAGAGGGGCATCCCAACTTGTAAAGGGCGGATCACAGTCAATTGATTATGATCTTGAGTATGAGAATCCTGAGTTTCAAAAGAACTCGGAAGTTTTTTCGCCACTTTCTAACCTCTATTCACCAGAAGGATGTGATGAACTAGGTGAGAAAATATCCTTGATTTAACATGAAACTCTAATATTTTGCTAGCATTGGGTATGCATAGCTGAGATGCAGTCCTAATGCTCAAGTTATGACATCTTTTTTCTCTCCAGATCTCCTCTTTTCATTGTTTTCAATCCTTTCCTGTTTTTCTCTTGCAAGCAATTGCAGCTGATGGCAAGCGGTTGGAAGGATGGGTTCGCTCGGAAGCAGGAAAGTACGCAGCCACAATTGAGAAGAGACATCAGTTAGAGATGGATGCTTTTGCGGAACAAATGAGACTTAAAGATGAGAAATTAGAAGCTTTTCGCTGGCGAATGCTGAGCATGGAAATAGAATCAAAGCGTCTGCAGTCTCACATTGAAGGGCTGAACCGGGATGTTTCACGGATCAGGCGTGACAACATGAAACTGGAAGCCTTGTTATTGGAGAGGCAAAAAGAATTAACCGACTTGAAAGACCAGCTCAAGGCACAAATAAGACCTCAGTTTTGCCAGCAGGCCAACTTAAGCTCATCTCTTGATGATCCAGCATTAGTCCATGATTCCATTTTGTCCAGAGCCAAGAATGTAAAGAAAGAACCAACAGAGAATAAGCAAGAGGGAGAGGTACATCTGACGGAAACATCTCAAGAGAAGAATACTGAAAAAGAAGAAGATGAGGAAGCCCTTCATAACCAGTCCAGAAATGTCAGTAAAATTGTCCAATCTCCAGAAAACGAGTTTGAGGAAGAGAAGGATGTCTCCATCCAAGGCTGCACTCAAGAGGCAAGTGCGAGTCCAGTGGTGGTTGATACTGTAGAACAGATAGCATTGACTAGCCAGTCATTGATGAAGACAAATAATTCAACATGGGGGATGGACCTCCATGCTCTTGGAGTTTCTTATAAGATCAAGAGGCTGAAGCAGCAGCTTCTAATGCTCGAGAGATTGACAGGAAAGCAAGACAGTGGTGAACATTTAGGTAACAGTGATGAGGCAAAAACTGGGATAAAGGTCTTCCAAGCATTGATGTCTTTGCTTAATAAACAAGTCAACAAGTACCAGTCGCTCCAAGAGAAGACCGATGAACTCTGCAAACGGATGGTAAGCTCTACACAAATTTGGTGCATTTCAAGAGTTACTGCATATTTTGGCTAAACTTCCTTTCAATGATAAGCATAGCTTCCTGCCCCACCATGTGTCTATCGCCCCCCCTACAAACCATGTTACCAGTCCCTTCAGCACATCTTGTCACCAGAAATTTTGCTGAATTGCTGATCTGCTTTTATTTTCATTTCTCTCACTTGTAATTACAGCATGATAATGATGTAGACGTGAGTCGCAGAGATTCCAGCACTAGCACTGCTAGGAAAAAGGGAGAAACTAAAACATTAGAGCAGTTCCTAGAGGAAACATTTCAGGTTCAGAGATACATGGTTGCAACAGGACAGAAACTGGTGGAAGTTCAGTCCAGGATTGCATCTGATTTCGTCAAGGTCCCTGAAGAGCTTGGGAAAGCTGCCGGCAGCTTTGACATGAAGCGTTTCGCTGACAGCATTAAAACTCTTTTCCAAGAAGTTCAAAGGGGACTCGAAGTTCGGATTGCTCGAATTATTGGTGATCTTGGGGGCACTCTAGCTTGTGAGGGAATGATTCGTATGAGAGGGTTGTGATAGCAACTATAAATGTTCATAAATATATATACACATATAGTAGTTATATCACCGTGTGTTTTCCTCAGCCCTGTATATTTTTTAAACCCAGTTCTGGTCAGATCACGAGATCGGATCACTTATCATCTTAAATTGAACTTTTTTTCTAATAAAATAAAGCAACTTTGTTTTATTGAAAAAACACAAATAATTAATATTTTGACTAGATTAATTACGTCTTTAAATTAATCTGGGTTTTTAGCTACATTATCAAGTTTTTTTTTGTTTTTTTATCTTGATTTAATTTTCATTTTGAGTTTTAAACTGGATTATCAAGTTTTTTTATTTTTTAAAATTTTATTTAACTTGATTTAATTTTCATTTTGAGTTTTTAACTGGATTATCAAGTTTTTTTATTTTTTTAACTTGATTTAATTTTGATCTCGAGATTATAAATAGATTATTAAGTTTTTTTATTTTTTAAAATTTTATTTAATTTTAATCTCAAGCTAAACAGATCTCGGCTTAAACAGTTCATGGCTTGACCCGGTATATCTGACCGGGCCAATCATGTGCCTAGGGGCTAAGCTAGCTCCTGCATTAGCAGCTTACAGTCTAGGTACAGCATGGCTATCTCCTTGGTTCCCAGTGGGACCAAGCCTACGCCCTTCTCTTTCTTCATTTAGAGACCGTTTAGAAACAACATTATAAAAATAAAAAATCGTATGGCTAATTATATTATTTTTTTTATTTTTACACCAGCTTTTATATATAATTATGTTTTAAATTTTAATTTTAGAAGTTAAAATAGCATGATTTTTATTCATGAAGATCAGTTTTTTAATTTATTTTTCATGTAAAATTTTATCCCACGAGAATTTTAACTAGATACATTCTTTTAAATATATTTTTTTTCAAATCATAATTAAAAATTATAACTTTAAAAGTTACAATAATATCAAACATATGTTTAATATATATAAGATGTTTAATATATACATTTAATATATATAAGATGTTAAGTGATATTAAATTTAAAAAAACAATTGTGTAGATATTAAACCTAACTCTAAACTTTATTATTAATCTAGAACCTAACTTGATCAACCTTTTATTTTGAATTATTTTTATATTAATTTGCGCAGGTTTAATTCAAATTTAGTTAGGTGAAGTTAAAGAATTTTTAAGATAAACTAAAACAATTTTTTTTTTTATAAAATTAATTAATCTAAATAGATTTAATGATTTAAAAATTTATAACCTCATCCTAAACTAAGTCAAATTTAAGTTAGGTATGAGATCTTTTCGTAGCACCATTTATTCTTGCAATTAAGAGTATATTTAATGATATTATGATAATAATTATTTTTTTAAATGTTTTTTATTTAAAAATATATTATAATTTATTTTATTTTTTAAAATTTATTTTTAACATCAGCTTATTAAAAAAATTTAAAAATAAAAAAAATTAATTTAATAAAAAATTAATTTAATTTAATTTTTTCAGAACTACTTTTAAAATACCAGAGAAAGACTTGGATTGGTGGTTTTAAATTTTTATATATTTCTTAAATCTAATAAAAAAAATGAAACAAAGTTACAGGAAAGCATCTTTCCATAAGAATTTTAACTAGGTATATTCTTTTAAATATATTTGTTTCAAATCATAATTATAAATTATAAATTTAAAAGTTACAATAATATTAAATACACATTTAATATATTTATATATATATATATATATATATGTGTGTGTGTGAAGTGATATTAAATTTAACAATACAATTATGTAGATATTAAACCCGACTCTAAACTTCATTATTAATCTAGAACTTAACTTGATTAATTTTCTATCTTGAATTATTTTTATATTAATTTGGCCAAGTGTAATTCAAATTTAGTTAGGTGAAGTCAAATAATTTTTAAGATAAACTAAAACAATATTAATTTTTTTATAAAATCAATTAATCTAAATGGGTTTAATGATTTATAAATTTATAACCTCATCCTAAACCAAGTCAAATTCAAATTAGATATGACATCTTTTTATACTTGATGATATTATAATAATGATTATTTTTTAAAATATTTTTTATTTAAAAATATATTATATTTTTTTATTTTTTAAAATTTATTTTTAACATCAATTTATTAAAAAGATCTACAATCAAAAAAATAAATTAATAAAGAATTAAATTAAATTAATTTTTTCAAGAACTACTTTTGAAATACCGGAAAAAAACTTGGATTGGTGGTTCTAAATTTTTATATATTTCTTAAAACTAATCAAAAATAAAAAATCAAACAAAGTTACAGGAAAGCATCTTTCCATGTTAGGCTGAACTCCATTAATTAAAAACTGAGTCATGAACCGAGTCCATATCTCCATGAAAACGAGCAATGAATCAGCAGATGCTCTCTTGTTTCTATATCAATTGCAGAGCATAGTAGTGAAAGCTCTATTGGTGGCAGACCCTTTTGACTTTAAAAAATTATAGTATAGATTATGCCTTGAACCGCCAACCAAATAAAATTTTGTATTTTTAACAGACGAAAGAAGTACAGACACAGGCACCATTGAATTCAATTTTGTCATTAAAAAACAAGAACATGTATTAAATCATATTATTATTCCTTAAACCTTATATTAATATATTTGTTAATGATTTTAATGTGTTATGTTAAGAATAAAATAAAACAAAGACATGAAAAATACATAATTTTAAGGTTCTATCTTGCGTGAAGAGCCCAGAGGGCACGGCAGCTACATGACCAAACTGTAGCCGTCCAGACCGTTCTCCTTCACGCTTTATTTCACCATATTAAATACAAGTTTGTATGATGACTTTTTTAAACTAATTCTATTTAATTAATTATAATGTTTAATTTGAGTTTAATTAATGTATAAATTAAATTCACAAAAGAAATATAAATCAATTCATTTTATTTATTTCTTGCATTTCTCTTATTTTATACACAAAAGTTTCTAATAAAGAAATGCTAAATGAAAAATGAATAGTAATTTCTTTTATATATATATATATATATATATATAATAGCATGAGTGATCAGCTGATTTACGTCGATTTATTTCTTGTATTTCTCTCATTATCTACACAAAAGTTTGTAATAAAAAAGATGCTAGATAAATATTTAGAAAAAAATAATTTTAACATTAATTCTTTCTATTTAGTATAATAACGTACAGGAGTGGGTGGCCGATTTACGTCAATTATTGGCATTCAAGGTTGTTTGAAGCATGAGATTCTATGAATTCGGACTCGAGTATTTCAAACAATGAGTGTGATTGCATTAAAATAGAGCATTTGTGCGACAAAAGAACTTGATCAGTGCCATTTCACTGTTCTCAAAGGCAAAATAAACACAGAAAACCGTAGTACCAAGGCCACAGTAAAAGTGCCAACGAAGACTAAAGCTAGCTCTTGATTCCAGAATTAGAAATTAGCCCTAAAACAAAGTAAGTCAAGGATATGCTGCCGAGAGCCTTCTCTTCTTGTAATTGGCCTTGAAACAAGCCTGCCTCAGCTTCTTTGTTCTTTCGGTCAGCTCTAAGTCCGGCAGTTTTTCAATAAGCCTTTTGTGCTCCTTCAGCATGATTGTGTCGTGTTCACTCAGCCCCATTTCCTTCATCACAACAAATTAACAAGCCCGTATTGAATCCTCTAAGAAAAAAACTATGAAAATGATACAAAATTCATTAGAGGAAGCGCCTGTGTGCAAGAACCATGCACGTACCTTGACATTGTTGATAAGAGAATTCAAGCTCTTGATCTTCCTATGAGGCCACCTCATGATCTTAAGTTCTCTGCATCTTTTTTTCAGCACGGTTAGGCCCACTTTCATTTCTCTAGCTGCTTGAGTGATTGGCATGTTGAAATGCTTCTGGATTTCTTCCAACTGCAAAGCAACCGACCTCTTCCTCCCGCTCATCTTCCTACTTTCTTCTTCCTCCTCCTCCTTCACGCTTGAAGAGCTAGCACAATCGCTTTGGACCAAAAACATGGAGAATCCTTTCAGGTGATGATCACCTTTGATGACATTGTTGTCAAGATTTTGCCCAAATGAAGCATGGATGCCAGGGTTTAGCACCGGCTTTGTGTCAACATAGGCATTTTCTTGATTATACCAAGACTCAAGATTACTTTCAGAAAAAATATTATCACTACTGATATCTTCAAGGTGTTTGAACTGATTGATGTTCGACGGATCAAAAAGGCTTTCGAAGTGAGGAAGTTCTGAAATTCTGTGAACAGATAAAACAAAATACAACAAGAATGATTAAGGATCATGATCAGAAGTGATAAGAGAGGAACCTGAGATATTAAACAAGAAGGCAGCATAAATTAGATTATATAGTGAAGTACATTTTCGACAAAAAAAAGGGGAAAGAATCTTACTTTTGGAAGGTATCTTGATCATCAACACCAAGATCCCAGACATCAAAGTCAGGTGGATTCTCCATTGTTAATGGAACAAGGAGTGTTGTTGCCTTGTTGAATTTATTGAGAAAATGAATAATGGCGGGGGGGGGGGGGGGGGGGGGGGTTAATGCATGGGAGAACAGTTCAAGGAGAGGGTTATAAATTATGGTGGAGATTAGAGAAGGGATTATAATTAATTGAAATAATTAAGGGCACCACGTCCATGAGAGTTACAAATCCAGTCGAATGTAGTTAATGATCACATTTACTGATGAACAATTACCAATAATCACTATTGGGGGCTGCATGATCTATCTCTATTTATTGACTTCCTTAAGAATCATTTAATATATTACGTGCCATGGCTATCATGCCCCAGGTACATTCTCCTTCATTCATTCATGCATGCATGCACAATAGCAGCCCAAAAATATGTATTTCTTATAATATTAGCCAATATTACCCCGATGATAATTTATTAATTTCATCTAACATAATGTTTATATCATAATTATTAAACATGATCCAGATCCAGTTTGATGGGTTGATTTCAGACTTGACCGACTTACCTTTAATTTAGGTTAAGAGTAAAAAAATTAATTAAAATTAACTTGATTGATTTAGCATGTCAAGTAATAATTAAAAATTTTAATTTGAGTTTTTTATTAAAAAAATAATATTATTTTAATTTTTTAAAAGTAATAATTAAAACAACATGCAAATGTCAACCTACCTACCCCATGATCTTGACTAAGTTTATTATTTATGATTTAATTAGATGAATTGTTCAGGATTGTAATCTTTTGGATGATGGGTATACATAAGAAAAAAATTAGAAAAATTTGTATTGCATCGTTTTGATTTCTTGAAAAAAATAAAAACTGTGATTTTAATAATAGGCTTTAACAAAGGTTAACCTATTCAATCTATCACCAGAAATTTAGATTGGATATTGGGTTTATTATCTATGGTTTAAATATATCAATTGTTCATGATTGTTATCCTACTGATAATGGTTATAGAAAAATAATTAGTATTATTAAAAAAAAAGATTTGATATTAAAAATTCGGGTTGTAAGATTTTTGTTCTTCTTTTTAAACATTCTCAAGGTAAGATCATGCATGGCATGGATAAAAAAAACCAGTAGATGACAATGATAGCATAAGGAATTAATTAATGAAAGTAAGTTACATGGAGATTAACAAGATTGAAGGATCATAAATTCACTGTTAAGATTTTCATCATTATCACCATAAAGTTTAGATCAATGCCCTACACTTCATTAGCATAATGAGATAGCATAGCCTTGACTGTTTTGGGTTCATAAAGTGAATGACCAAACTACAATGAGTGGCATTAAGGTCACGTTCGAGTGGATAAGCAGCAGAAACCCCACTCTTCTATTAATAAAGTGGAACCCATGCTCTCCATTTTGCTTGCATGGTTAATTATATCAAGTTCATCCATTTGATTTTATACAGTCTCACTGAAAAATGGTCAGAATCTGCAATGGAGTTTTCAAGCATACTCATCACACCCAATCCGGTAGTTTACCTTATAAAATAACCGGGTCACAGGTCTTGTGAGTAGATCCAAGTTAATTTAAATAAAAAATAAAAACATATATTAATATGATTTTTTTTGATATAAAATATCACATTAATATATATGCTAACATAATTAATAAGAAAATATCATATTAATATATATACTATCATAATTAATTAGCATTAATACATTAAAAGGTACATTTATCTTCAAATAAACAAACATTTAACATAATTTAAAAATAAAAATAATTTTCCTAACAAGTAATTCTAGAGATATATAATTTAACATAATTGATATAAGGTGACAACATTCAAACTCTAGTTTGCATTAGAATTCATAAATCAACATTTTAACTTCATTTTGCATTAGAATTCATAAATCAACATTTTAACTTCATTTTGCATTAGAATTCATAAATCAACATTTTAACTTCATTTTGCATTAGAATTCATAAATCAACATTTTAACTTCATTTTGCATTAGAATTCATAAATCAACATCTTCAGCTGTATAAAGAAAACAAAAGATTTTAGAATATATTAAACACTTAACACTAATATGACCTTATTGGAATAACCATACTTTTTCTACACAACATCTTTACTTTGGTTGAATATAAGCATTGAGTTCTTCAGTATCCAAAAAAGCAAAATTTGAATCAAATACCAATAAAATTGAGTCAACCTCATTAATACCTATTGAAACATCATCATGCTCTTGTGTATCTTCATCATTATAGTCATCTTCAATCTCATTTATATTTATCAAATCTACAATTGAAACATACTTAATCAATAAACATTATAGTCATGACACAAAGTGAAATATCAAATCTTTCATTACCTTCATTTAAAGTATCTTGAATAGTCATGGTTGATAAATCATGATGAAAGATCTCTACTTCTTCAATTGTTAAAGATGATGGATCATCTTCTACTATCCAATTTTTAATGTCACAAAATGCCTCAAAATTAATTAGATCATAATTTTGTTCTTTCTAATAATTTATACAAAATCAAAGTTAAAGTACACAATATAAGTATCAATGATGCTATGTAATAATATAAATAACTTTTGAAGAATTAGAGAAAAGAAAATACTTTTATTTTAATCTCAAATTATAGTGGATATAAATTAGGTCATTAAGTCTCTGATGCTCCAATCGATTTTTTTTCTTAGAGTGGATGTGCTAAAAGATACTCCAATTCCTTTAGCATCCTGAAGAACTATAAGTTTGACTTAAAACTCATATAGCTAGCTTTTGGAGATTTGGAGCACAAGTTCCATACATCACCCACTATTCATCTATATACAAAATTAATAAGTTAGATTATATCAAGATAATATTTTTAAATTACTTTGATTATGAAAATAATAATATACCTTGAGGTAAAAGGGTGCGATCATTTTTCGCAGACACTCTACCAAAGTCATGTTCTGCATTCCTAAACAATTTCATTTCACTTGTAAGCTTGCTTAGCAGAATTGCATTTCCATTTGCATACTTCTCAACAACATCTAGAAATCTAGAAATGGTGTTTATATATCTATCCATTAGATTGACATTATACTGAAATTGAGGATTCAACCAGAATCCCGCTACATAAAGCTTCCTATACAATTGCCCATCCCATCTATTATTCACGATGTCTATGAAAGGTTGCACCTTAGTTCTTTTCTTTTGAAATCTCCTCAACATTTCTTTCTTTGCAGAATGGATAGCCTCATATAAATATCTCATAGCAGGTTTATCATCACTATCAACAATTCATGGAACTCGAACCAATGGTCCGGTCATTCGTACAATTGATGCACATTCTTCCCAAAACATAGAGTTCAATACACTATCAACAAACCTTTTTCCTTTGCTATCTTTAGCATAAGCAGAGGAAACCCATTCTCTAGATGTCACCATAGCTCTCAAATTATCTTTGTGTACTAAAATGCTTTGTAAAGTTATGAATTAGTAGCAAAGTGAGTAGGAGCAGGTCGAAGTATTTATTTCCCTCTAGTGAACTTTCTCATCAAATATAGTGGATAACAATGATTATAAATATACTTTGTAATATTAGAAGCATGATCAATAATAGAATAAACTGAATGTAGCTTATCAACATCTTGGAGTATAAGGTTGATGCAATGAGCAGCACATGAAGACCAAAATATTGAAGAAAATTCTTCCACCAACAACTTGCAAGCAACAACATAATTAAAAGCATTAGCAGTCACCATATGCATAATATTTTTAGGCCCAACAAATAAAACAACCTCTCTAAACAATTTATGCACCAACACAGCAGTCTTTGAGGCCTCTGATACATCCACTGTTTTTAAAAAAATAGTTCCTTTAGGGTAATGTACTAAGAAATTAATTAAAGTTCTCCTATTTTAATATGTCCATCCATTAACCATTAATGTACAACCTGTCTTCTTCCAAGTTTCTCGATAACTCTCAACAAAAATCTTCACTTCATCAATCGCCTTTGCTAGGTAATAACCACAAAGAGTATGGAAATTTGATCCTTTATAACCAAAACCCATTGTTGTTATACCATCTATAGCATGCTGATAGTAAACAAAGTTTATAGCATTGAATGGCATACATACATCAATAATCCATTTTGCTATAGCAAGATCACATCATTCGATAGCTTTTTTGTTTTTCTAACAACTTTAGAGAGACTTTTGAGCACCATGAGTTGTTCTTGGAATAAAATATGCCCCTAATGTTCTATTTTTTTTTTCACAACTTGCAAATGATTGTTTAACAACACTAGTGATTTTACTCTTTTGTTTATTGGCAACCTTCGGTGGTAACATTAGCTTCTTACCATCAGCTTCAACATCATCATCGTCATTATCATCATCATCGCCTTTACAATCATCTTATAATTGTCTAATCATCCTCTCCTCATGCTCTCTTTGTTTAACGCTATATGGATTGAAATTTGCTTCCATTTCTCTAGCTCTTCTTTTCTTTTTAACATTCCCCTGAAGATTCAGAAGTATTTGATGACAAAATTCTGGAGGACATTTACGGCATTGTTCCACTTCTCCTTTAGTTCCAGCTAAATGTTGCTTAAATCGATTAATGCCTCCACCCGTAAAAACTTTAGCATAATATAAGGATATTAATTTGGTTTTCTTACATCCCACACTACGTTCAGGAGCTTCTCTACAATGACCCCATGCCAAATTATTTTTCCTCTTATACCACTTGATGTTGATATGGAAATTGAAGGTTCAGATGATTGAGTAGTTGAAGGAGTGCTATTTGAAGTGCTACCATGTTGAGAAGCCATTTTACAAACCTATAGTAAATCAAATCAAACTAACACTTCTATCAATAAAGTGGAACTCATGCTCTCCATTTTGCCTGCATGGTTAATTGTATCCAGTTCATCCATTTGATTTTATACAGTCTCACTGAAAAATTGTCAGAATCTGCAATGGAGTTTCAAGCATAGATATCAGAACCAACCCGATAGT